ACTCCTCACAATCACATTATGCGGTAACAGACAGTTCTTAAGACCAGATGGACACAAAATGGAGAGAAAGGAATTTAAACTAAATCTTCACTTTTAGAGGCTCATTCATGAGCTAATTTGTGAGTGAGTCCAGACTCCCCGTACTCAGACACTCACCTTGGGTCCACTTTACCTCTCATTAACACCAAAAGAGGTTCAACTCAAACCAATTTTGCTAGTCATTAACAATCTAGTAAAGGCTAGGTAATAACTGACTGAAATGAAACGGTTGGATTGGCTTAAACTGACCTCCAGAGATTATTGGTACCTTTCACATGAGAGTGCTTACCCCATTTCCCACAAAAGGTCATGGCTGTCTTGTATACACCAGAGAAACGGATCAATTCTCCAAAGCCAAGCACATGATTGTTACATCTTTCTGTGTCATGTAAAAAAGAAAGAACTTAACCATCTGAACACAGGCAAAGGACAGTCAAGGAGATTCCATTTCTATGACCATTAGTCAGCCACGGAGATCAGTTATTTGCAAAACACAGAAAGCTAAGGAAGGGAAGACACTGTGATAGCCCATGACTCTCAGAATTAAACACCATACTCACACCATTTCTGAACCATCAGTTAACCCCGAGTCTTCTCTACTTATTTACAATCTATAATAATAAAAGCATAATATGCTAGTTAGACCAGATGTCCTTCCGGACGACCTTCTGGATGAAGCCAAGGCTGAGAGGGAAGCCCGGGTCCTAGGTGCCAGGGGGAAGCCAATGCCAGCAGCCAGGGGAAGGAAGGCCTAGTCTTGCAGAATTTCATGCATCAGGCCTCTAGTTTACAATAAATTCATAGAAGGCTGATTTCAAAGCACCTTATAAACATTGTTGCTTCTATTATCTACCTCTGTACAGAGAAGCATTTTTAGCCTACCTAGGAGGGACCTACAATGGTACTTAATATTTACCCATCACATTTTTTGCACATAAACATACATAAGATACAAATCCGATTCACTATACTGCACAAAATTTTTCAAAACATGAATTTTAACTGATCAAAACCATAAATAAATATATACCATATAGTAATGTATTTGTGCAGCTTGTCCAGAAAAGGTTTGGTAGTGATCAGTTAAAATTAAAGGTTGACATAATTATGTAAAATTTAATTATGGCAATTATTTGTATACTTCATATCTCAGCACATTGCTCTCCACTGATAACAGAGTAGCCGTTAGAATGGTAAGGAGGGAGATACAAAATCAAACACAAATAGGATGCCTTAAATCCAAAAAGGTTGGGAATTGATGCTCTAGTAAGCTGTAATGTATAGATTCTGGGCAGCACCCCAATCCTACACGACCTAATTTATTCCCAAGTCCCTTAGAATCAAAGCTGGGTAAGGAGACAAAACACTATGTGTGCCACTTGTATTCTCACTTCTATCACAGTATTAAAAATTACTACTATTGGAATAATGTAAGAAAACTGTAAGCTTTCTATCTTTTACTAAGAGTTGTGTTTTATTCCAAGCATTTTAAATATTACAGTATTTATTTCATTATTCAGATATCAGAAAATTAATTCATAAGTTAACTTATTTTTTTAATGTTTTTATTGATTTTAGAGAGAGGAAAGGAGAGGGATAGAGAGACAGAAACATCGATGACAAACATCAATTGGCTGCCTCCTGCACATTCCCGACTGGGGATCGAGCCCACAACCTGGGCATGTGCCCTGACCTGGAATCGAACTATGACCTCCTGGGTTCGTAAGTAGACACTCAACCACTGAGCCACACCGGCTGGGCAAAATTGGCTATTTTAATATGTTTATTGGTCATGTATTTTTCCTTTTACAAACTGATCTGTTCTGACTCTAAATCTGGAACAGGGAGAGTACAGGATGATCCTGAATCATCTTGTCATACCAGAAAGCAAGTAAGCTACCACAGATTACTAGAAACCTGCCATAAGGACTTGGAACCAACCTGAATAAGCCTATATACCCAAAGATAGGGCAATTTGAGCATCAAACGGAGAATAACTGAGCCCTGGCTGGGTTGCTTAGAGCATCATTTAGATATATCAAAGTTTCGGGTTCAATTTCCAATCAGGGCACAAACAAGAAGCAACCAATGAATGCATAAATAAGCCAAACAAATCAATTTTTCTCTCTCTCTCCCTTCTAAAAAAAAAATAAATTAAAAAAAACAAAGGGGACAATAACTGAAATGGACTGAAACACATATACTATTCCTATCCTATATAATAAAACACTAACATGCAAATTGACTGAATAGTGGAACAACTGGTCACTATGATGCACACTGACCACCAGGGGGGCAGATGCTCAACCCAGGGAGCGCTGCTCAGCCAGAAGCCAGGCTCACGCGCAGTGGCAGAAGCCTCTCCTGCCTCCGCTGCAGGTGGGCAGTAAGGAGCAAGGGGTCCCGAACTGTGAGAGGGATGTCTGCCTGCTGGCTTAGACCTGATCCCCAGGGGATCCCCCGAGGGGTCCCCGACTGCGAGAGAGCACAGGCCAGGCTGAGGGACACCCCCCCCCCAGAAGGTCTCTAATAAGAGTTATAAAGATAAATATACAGGAAAAGGGAAAAATCCTCATCCATCACCATAGGAGGATACTAGGGAACTAACTTACGATTTGGGGAAGTGGTAAATAAAGGGAAATAATTAGGCATTATTCCCACCCTTCCTATACAATCTATATTATACCTCAGGGTGAGTCCTATATACTCTTCCATACAGCAAAATAGATACCATTATCACATTAGCTGGGAAACAAAAATGTCATCTGCATGAGCCACACATTTCAAAAAGCCACACATTTCCTACCTACATGGAAGGAAAAGATAGGGCCCAACAGAACATAATGTACATATTAGTTTTATCCCTCATGGATTCTATATCTTAAAAAGGAACTACATTAAGTAATAACTAATTTGTTTTCTCATTTTAATTAAACAAATATATCTATAAATTCCAGGGAGACCCAACCAGTGGTGTCTCAGTGGCTGGGCACTGATCCATAAACCACGAGGTCCCAGGTTTGTTTCCGGTCAGGGTAGACAAGCAACTGATTAATGTTTCTCTCTCACATCAATGTTTCCCCTTCTCTCTCTTTCTCTCTATCTCTCTAAGCATATTCTTGGGTAAAGATTTTTTAAAAAGGATTAAGATGGTAAATTTTAGCTTATGTATATCTTATCACAAAACATTTAGTATGTTAAAATTAAAAGAAATTTGACATTTTATTTTTTTAAATTTATCTTTATTGTTCAAAGTATTACAGATGCCCTCCTTTAACCCTCTCCACCCCAACTTCTCCCTATTGTCTGTGTCCATAGATTACGAATATCTATAGTAATAAAAGAGTAATATGCTAATTAGACCGGATGACTTCTGGACATCATTCCTGACGAAGATGGGGCCAGAGGGAAGCCAGCCCGGGTCCTGGGTGCCTGTGGGTGGCCCAAGGGAAGCCAGCTGGGGTCCCAGGTGCCTGCTGGCGGCCAGAGGAGGGAAGCCCGGGTCCCAGGTGCCGGAGGGAAGCTGGTGCAGGAGAGAAGCCGGTGCTGGAAGCCGGGGGAAGGAAGGCCTACTCTTGCACGAATTTTCATGCATCAGGCCTCTAGTATACATATAAGTTCTTTGGTTAATCTCTTTCCACCACATCCCCTTACCTCTGAGATTCCTCAGTCTGTTCCATGTCTCTGGATCTATTTTGTTAGTCAGTTTATTTTGTTCATTAGATTCCACTTATAAGTGAGGTCATGTGATACCCGTCTTTCTGACTGGCTTATTTCTCTTAGCACAATACTCTCCAGGTCCCTCCATGCTATCTCAAAGAGTAAGAGATCCTTCTTTATTACAGGTGCATAGTATTCCATCGTGTAAATGTACCAATTTTTTTATACACTCATCTACTGATAGGCACTTGGGCTGTTTCCAGATCTTAGCTATTGTAAACAACACTACTATGAGCATTTGAATTTTAATTGCATAGTCCCTGCAGCTTCACCAAGGACAAATATATAATTTCAATAAAGCTTTTGGTAATATTGAAACTGCTTCACGAATCTTAAATAGGAACCAATGCAATAACTAAATCAAAGCATTTTAATAGAAGTTTTAACCAATCTTTAATGCACTTGATGAATCAAATCATGTGCATATTGGGCCACTCAATCCATTTTCAATCTTTTCTCATCCACAGAAGGGAACAGGAAAGACTATAATTGATATTTCCAATTCAGTGAGAGAGATGAAGAACAATGTCCTAGCTTAGCCATGCACAAGGTAGGCACTCAATAAACATTCCTGAATTCTAATCCTCAGTGAATCTGCAGAAAAACCAAGAAGAAACCTGCCTGTCACCCTGCCCTCTACACCATCTCGTGAGAGGGCTGAAATCGGCCTCAAGGAAGGCTGCCGTCTCTGCTGGTTTTTCACTACTTGGATCTCAGCATCAGTGTTGGATGGTTCAATGTAAAACAGTTCCATGTACCAAGTATCCTTTTATGGGTTTAAAAACATTTTTTTTCTATTAGAGTTTTGGTGAGAAAAAAAATGTGAGTCACCAAACTGCCACTCTTATACCTCAATATGAAAACTAGAATGTTCAATACGATATACATGCCTTTTCTAAATGAAAAAGTCCCTGTTTTAAAATATATAGTAGCAAGTACATTATATTCTCATTTCTCAGGCACAGGAGGCAATCCTGGCTTTCCATTCTGCACCCATGTCTGCAAGCTCCATGGTGTTAGTATTTGCTCTCCATGTGATCCCTCTAACAGCCTTACATACTTCTAACTCGGGAGGTCAACACCACCTCCCCCATCACAGGACAACACAATACTTCCACAACCCTTGTTGAGACAGAACACGTAAATTCTTACAGGAAATTCGAATCCTCTAACAACTCTTTCATACAAATTCAGTCCTAGTCTGTAGACAGAGGAGCTAAACACTAGCTGTGGCTACTCACAGTTTATTCGTATACTCATTTCCACGACAGCAAACTATGAGGAAATGGAATGGGGACCGCTGAGACCCGCCCAGGCTGTCACTGCACAATGTTGACATCCCCTTGCACACGGCGCTGGGAGACCGCCAGGGCTACGTGCAAGGTGCCCTGTCACTTCACATCCATCACACCCCGCAAGCTGGTGCCAGGGGCCTGGTGGTGACTGCCCTCCGGGGCCACAGCACGGCTCCCAGCGGCCTGGTCTGCAAGGAACAAACTGAGAAATGGAAACCTAGATGCAGAGACAGAGGCATGAAGAAAGGGACCCCACACACACACCCTCCCCCTCCCCAGAGGGAAATTTACATTCTTCAAAACCTTGGAAATAAGTGACTTTCCCTGTGCTTTTTAAAAACCTGCCTACTGGGTATCCTTAAGTAAACTTACTGAACTACTGCAAATACCTAGAGGAGGAGTCCCCGAGTAATAGAGAAATCCAGGAAACAGCTCCCTGCAAGGGGTGTGGGGTGTGGGGTGTAATTGTCCCCAAGGGGAGAAGTGTTAGGAGGCTTCCTGATCACCATGGCGACTCAGCAGGTAAGTCACATCCATTCAGAGGACGGGGTCCCCCTCCCTTCCCCCCCAGAGCCCGAGGGCCCGCACCTTCCCAGCCTGGAAGCGAGGTGCCGGGGAAGGGCAGACGCCTCTCCCGAGCTGAGTGCCCGAGCGGGTCCAACTTCAGACCCGACCTCCCCTGCACCCGGTCGCGCAGCGCGGGGGAAAGAGGAAGGGCGGGCATCCCGAGCGGAATCTCCGTGATTTGCCCGCGGAGACAGCACAGACCAGACCGCAGGAGCGCCAGCCTTTCCGTGCAGCTGCCGCGACAGGTGACCGGGCCGCCGCGC